ACAAATGCTGGCATGGATGTGGAGAGAAGGGAACACTTCTACACTGCCTGTGGGAATGCAAGCTAATATGACCTTTTGGGAAAGAAGTTTGGAGAACACTCAAGGAACTAAAAGTAGACCTACAGTTTGATCCTGCAACTCCTCTACTAGGTATATACTCAGATGATCAAAAATTTTTTTACAACAAATACATTTGCACCAGAATGTTTATTGCAGTCCAATTCATAATCGCTAAGACATGGAAACAGCCCAAGTGCCCACTGGCCCATGAATGGATTAACAAATGGTAGTATATGCACACCATGGACTACTATGCAGCCATAAAAAGATGGGGACTTCACATCTTTTTTGTTTACCTGGATGGAGCTGGAACATATTCTTAGTCAAGTATCTCAAGAATGGAAAAAAAAGTATCCAATGTATTCAATACTACTATGAAATCAATATATAATCACCTATGCATTTATATGAATGGCAAAACATAACTATAGTCTGGAAAGGGACGAGAGAGAGGGAAGGGAAGAGGGGATATGGGAGGAGGGATGGTATTTGGGGGGTTACCTCACCTAATGTGCATAATGCAACGGTACATTTACGTTGCCCTGGGTAAAGTGCCATAGTGTCACAGCTCACAGTAATCTCAAACTCTTGGGCTCAAGCAATTCTCTTGCCTCAGCCTCCTGAGTAGCTAGAACTACAGGCACCCATCACAACACCTGGCTATTTTTTTGTTGTAGTTGCCATTGTTGTTTGGCAGGCCCAGACTGGGTTTGAACCCACCAGCTTCAGTGTATGTGGCTGGCACCTTAGCTGCTGAGCTACAGGCACCAGCCACATATACCTAAGGTGGCGGGTTCGAATCCAGCCTGGGCCCGCCAAACAACAATGATGACTGCAACCAAAAAAAATAGCCAGGCATTGTGGTGGGCGCCTGTGGTCCGAGCTACTTGGGAAGCAGAGGCAGGAGACTGGATTGAGCCCAGGAGTTGGAGTTGCTGTGAGCTGTGATGTCACAGCACTCTACCCAGGGGAACAGCTTGAGGCTCTGTCTCAAAAAGAAAAAAAAAAAAGAAAGAAAGAAAGAAAGAAATGAGTATAATTGTGATGGATGTATTAATTAAAAAACAAAAATTAAAACAAAAGATTTTTTTCCTGAAATTCTGGGCCCCCAAAATGTGGACACATATGCTTCATTATATACAGGAATGCATTACACAGAGCAAAATACGGTGAAATTATGGTACAGCAAAAAGGTAGGAATACATACAGCCACTAAAAATGGTGATCATGAAGACCAGGCAGCAATGTGGAACCCCAAGGGTGAAAGGCCGAAAACAAAATAATATTTCTTTTTTTTTTGAGACAGAGTCCTACTTTGTCACCCTCGGTAGAGTGCCGTTGCATCACAGCTCACAGCAACCTCCAACTCTTGGGCTCAAGCGATTCTCTTCCCTCAGACTCCCAAGTAGCTCTGACTACAGATGCCTACCACAATGCCTGGCTATTTTTAAGGCTGGTCTCAAACCTGTGAGCTCAGGTAATCCACCCAGCTCGGCCTCCCAGAGTGCTAGGATTATAGGCGTGAGCCACCATGTCCAGCCCAAAATTCTGTTTCTGCTGTGATGACAGGTATGTGAGTCTAGCATTCAGAGGTTGTAGTCTGAAAGGAAATTTGGCCACAGGAAAATGGCTTGGATAGCTGGGACTGTGTGTTGGTAGACAAATTTCTTCCTCCTATAGAGAACTTTTAACATTGCTGTGATTTTATTTTAATACAAATAAAGATTTCAGTTCTTACTCTGAAAGCAACAACCTGGGCTTTCAAACATGAAGAAATAAACACCAACCAAAGCCTGCTGCTTTAAGACAGATCAGCCCCTGCTCCTTTAGGCCAGGGAGTCCTCAAACTTTTTAAACAGGGGGCCAGTTCACTGTCCCTCAGACTGTTGGAGGGCCAGAGTGCGGGCCCTGGGAGGAGTCAGCTGCTAAGCAGGACAGGCAGTGGCAAAAACACCCGGTGGGCCAGACAAATGTCCTCGGTGGGCCTTGTGTGGCTCGCGGGCCGTAGTTTGAGAATGCCTGCTGTAGGCCTTGCCCAAACCCCATCAGGGCCTTGCTTTTATTTATTTATCATAGAAGATTTTTTATTCTTAAAATACTGCATTAAAATATTACCTATGTCGATTACTGAGCTTTGCGATGCTCCTTAAGTTGTATAGCAATTGCCTCTCTCTTGTCCCTGAGTTCCCCCCCTGCCCAAAGCCACATTTTTCACAGCCTTTCCTCCTGCAGCAGGTGCAAGAAAGAAACAGTTACTACAGAGACAAGTGACACAAAGAGTATCCCAGCCATTCCCTCCCTGAGAGAAGCAGAGCTCCAAGGTCCACTGCTAACGTGAGGGTCTGACAGTCATGAGTAGGTACAGCTCCCTCCCCCACTGGGAAGAACCACAGGTTGTCCCTCTCCCTTTCCAGCTCAGCTATAGAAAAGCAGAGAGAGGCAACATTCAGCCCTGGAACTGTAGCTCCTGGGAGGCAAATGTTGCTCAGATAAGGAGGGGAAAAGGTCAGGAAGAATTTACCTAAAATAATCGTGTAGGCCAAGGTCTTGGAAAAGCTGTGTCTTCTAAGTGTGATAAAGAAAGAAGTGATATCTATCCAAATATTTTGAAATCAGAGAGTAACAACAAAAGAACATAGGATACAAATACAGATAAATCCTGGGGAAAAAATATAATCCAAGCTAGAGATTCTCCATTTGTACTTTTTGAGTTATAGAACTTAATAAAAACAGCTCAAAGATGAGATTAAAAACTGAATGACATTTCAATGTGGTAGCTCAATAGCCTACAATCTCAGCACTTTGGGAGAACAGCTTGAGGCTAGGAGTTTGAGACTGGTCTGAAAAAATTTAAAAGTTAGCTGGGCATGGTGGCACATGCCTATAGTCCTCGCTACTCAGAGGGTGAGGCAGGATTGCCTAAGCCCAGGAATTTGAGGTTTCAGTGAGCGACTCTTGAGCTTAAGAGATTCTCTTGCCTCAGCTTCCCAAGTACCTGGGATAACAGGTGCTCGCCACAAGGCCCAGCTATTTTTTTTGTTTTGTTGCAGCTGTCATTGTTTTTTTAGCTGGCTCAGGCCAGGTTCAAACCCGCCAACCTTGGTGTATGTGGTCGGCACCCTACCCACTGAGCTACGGGGGTGCTGGCCTTAGTTTTTTCTTTAAGATATAGTTATTTTTATTATTTTTTGAGATAGAGTCCTGTTCTGTGGCCTGGGCTGGAGTGCAATGGCATCATCATAGCTCACTGCAGCCTCAAACTTCTGGCCTCAAGTATCTTGCTACCTCAGTCTTCCAAACTGCTGTGTTTATAGGGATGTGCCAGAGTGCCTGGCAAGATACCATTTATTTTTATTTTTGAGACAGAATTTTATCCTGTCAGCCCAGGTAGAGTGCCAAGGCATCACAGCTCATAGCAACCTCAGACTCTTGGGCTCAAGCCTATCTTCTTGCCTTGGTTTTTCATTTTTAGTAGAGATGGGGTCTTGGTCTGGCTCTTGCTCAGACTGGTCTCAAACTCCTGAGTTTAAGCAATCTGCCCATCTCAGCTTCTCCGAGTGCTGGGGTTTATAGGCATGAACTGTGCCCAGCAGATAGTTTTTACATCTGTTAAGTTGCCAAGAGTGATGCCCAGTGCTGGCCAGGCCAGGAGACCCACTGCTGCTGAGGGTAAGCTGACAAAACCACATAGGAAATCAATCCGAGAAACATACCAAAATGCCAAATTCTGCTTATTCTAACAATTCCACTACTCAGAATTTACCTTTCAGGTATAAATAAAAGCTTACCAAAATATTTTCTACAAAAATGTTCATTGTAGCATCAAGTACACTAACATAAAAACCAAAAACCTGAGTGTCCATCAGCAGGGACCGTGCAGGTAAACAGTGTTTCAAACCTCACCAGCACCCTGCTCGGCAACCATGCCACGGTCCACTACAGTCCGCACAGCTGACGTGTTCCTCAGCTCACATGCCACACCCACCAGTGCCACCACCCCCCAACCACATCTCCTATCTTTCATGCCCACCCCACTGTGGCATCAGGCAGGGTATTCTGAATTTCGGCAAGACCATGGGCACCCCTTACCTCTTTAGCTCTCCTCCAGCCTTCCCAGAGCCCCGCCTTGCCTACTTCTAGCCACTGGGCCCAGCAGGACTGCTTCCCCTTGTATTCGTCCTCCCTGCTCCTGCCCCAGCCATCAGGAAGCTGATGGGCACCCCTAGGTGAGACCCTACCACCCCAGCTGCTCTTCACTCTGTGCTTCCTGCACGTCTCACAGTTGCTGTCTGACCTTATGTGTTATTAATAATTGTCTTTCCCATCAAATCATTAGTTCCATGACAGTAAGGTCTGCCTCTACTGTCCCTCGCACCTCATATATAACAGACACTCAGTAAGTATTGGCTGACGCAGGTGTGCACCACACAGGAAGTGATGACACAGACCTGTGCTTCTCAGTTAATAGAACGACCAGGAACCATGCATACATTTTGACGTGGAAAGGCTTGTAGGGCTGGGCCTGGTGGCTCAGGCCTATAATCCCAGCACTCTGGGAGGCCAAGGCAGGTGGATCACCTGAGCTCACAGGTTTGAGACCAGCCTGAGCAAGAGCAAGACCCCATCTCTAAAAACAGCCAGGCATTTTGGCAGGTGCCCGTAGTTCCAGCTACTTAGGAGGCTGAGGCAAGAGAATTGCTTGAGCCCAAGAGTCTGAGGTTGCTGTGAGTTACGATGCCACGGCACTCTACCAAGGGCGAGAAAGTGAGACCCTATCTCAAAAAAAAAAGGGGAAGGCTTGTAGGTGTGAAACTTTGGCCCCCTTTTGTTGAATTACCCGATAAAGACAGTTGCTCTAGACAGGACCATTATGGCCACACGTAACGGTAACCCAAGAAACTACCCTCAGAAAAAACAGAAGAAACTAGGGACAGGGCTCCTTTCAGCTATGGTTTAATTCAGGTGCCACCACCAGGGTGTGGAGTCCCCGCTGCTCACACTGGCTCCACTCTCAAACAGGTCTCCTTTCCAGGGGCTGTGGCCACATATCCCCCTGGCTCAAAATACACGAGAGCAAGAAACATCTTCCCAGCTCCAGCAACTGACCCCGGGCCTGCCCAAGGCCTAGACCATACAGGCTTCAGCCCTGAAGCAGGCATGGCCTGGAGGCTGTGGACTGACAGAGAGTGCAGAGGATGTGGCTTATTAAGGGAAAATGTGGAGTGGTGCCGCAGTACAGGGAATAGATGCGGTAAAGTCGAAACACATACACCCCATCATAAGGTGGTAAATGAACTCTTTTCTTGATGGGGCTCAAACTGTTAACAGTAACTTCCACCAGGACCAGGTGGTGGCAGCAGGGAGGACTTCACTCTTCACCATTCTTTAAAATGGACAGCTTCAAGTCATGTACATGTGCTATTTTTAATTCCTTAAAATTACAATTGAGTTTTAAAAATGATTTTAGTTCTTAAAAACAACACCTGTATATAAATGTTCTCTTATTCAGAATAGGCTACAATGTATGAATAGCAAAATCAGACATTAACAGTAGCACATGGTTTAGTACCACATGGAAACACCACACATTTAGGCACTTATCAAAGAAAAATGCTTAGAAATAAGTGAGGTTACCAAGTCTTCTGCCACACCCTGCAAAGGATGCTGCTGATCCCTCAAACTGTCACATTAAATGGGACCTGTGAACCTTGACCAGCATTACTCTTTCCTAAAGAAGGAAACAAAACAGGCTTTAAGGACACATAAAACCCGGCAGGGACACCACAAGTTCTATTTAACTGATGAGTGCAATTCAAGTCAAAGAAATTCAAAGTAACTACTCAGGGTTTCCAAGAGCCATATTTTCTGTTCACTCTGCCTGCAGAGACCTGGGATTACTCACCCTGGCCTCCTGGTGTACACTAAAGTATCAGCTTGCTGCAGGACTACCAGAGTACTTTTACCCTGCGAGCAATGAACAAGATGTTTGTGGCAGAAGAGCCTGATTCAATTAAGAGTTTTAAAAACTTGTCTGCTATCCTTTAAGCTAACAGAAAATAAAAAGCATGAAAACAGCAGGCTACCCAATCCAAGCAGGTGTAGGAAGGATGGGCATGGAAGCTCAGCACAATCAACAACTCAGCAAGTCTAAATGGGAGGAAGCAACTCACTCGAGTGTCTACGTGAGGTGTTTTTATCATAAATAGGAATCTGTCTGTGTCCGATATTAGAAATCTTGTCTTCTCATTTGAAGACTTTTAACAGTAATTCTTATACTGACCAGGTGGCAGACCATTTCTAGAAGAAAGAAGAATGTCACCTGGTGTGTGGTTTCCTGTGCCTGTCCCCACCCATGAGCCTGGCAAGCTGTGTCCATTTGTTCATCTGCAGAGCACCATGGCTGCCCCATCACAGCTCTTCTCTTTTATCCCCTGGTCTATTGCCTTCCTTGGAAGCCCGAGATTTTGAATCTCCTTCCTTCTTCTTTTTGCCCTTGTCTTGCTTCGTTTTATTTTTCTCTTTGCTTCCTCCTCCTTTGCCAGGGTACACCTGTCCCTCCAGAGTTACGTCAGCACACCTGTCTTGACTGACCAAAAAGTCCTTAATCTCCCAGGCGTAGCTCCCATCACGAAGCATGAAGATTGCACGGTCTGATCCCACAATGAACCTTGGCAGAGAGAAATGATCATATGGTTAGCATATACTAGTAAGTTGCTAAAGGGTCACAGTAATTCTGTGGCACTTACCAAGAAAATAGTTCATTCCGCCTTCTTCTACATGAGTACAGAACAAAAAAATAGTATTGTCCAAGGCCTAGTAGCTACCGATAGCTAATGTTTTAAAACAGTAGTTCACTAAACTATTAAACACCCAGCTCAGATCAAAACAGAAAAAAACGTTGGCTGTTCAGTGGTGTAAATGGATGTTCGTGTTAACAGAGAGCATGAGAAAAGCTTTTAGGGTACTGCAGAGATAGTACAGGGGCTGCTGCTGGGGGGCGGGGGGGAGGCTCCCATTCACGTCCGCTTCATATTCTAAGGTATCCAGTTAAAGGTTTACGCAACAAGACTTATGCTGATAGAAGGCTGAAAACCACTGGCCAGAGGCCCTTGATGAGCTCAAGAGGACACTCGGCTACTGGACAGAAATCCTAACCCCAGAGGGTAACAGCAGGCAGCCTAGCCTGCTCACACTTTGAAGACCCCAAGGAGCAAGGAGGTGGAGAATGGGGTCTGGGAGGACCACTAGGTGGCCAATGGGCGTTTCTGTTCCCAAGGGATTAGGCCACAACGTCACCCCCCTCACCCCCCATTTATAACACTCCCACCACTCTGACAACAATGCTACTTCCAAACCAGTCCACCAAAAGACATTTGTTCTCTTTAAGTGTCTATCTAAGCTAATGAAAGCATTCAGCTAGCTTGGACATTACCTACAGACTCTACTTCATTTCATCACTTTTATATTTCCTCAACTAAGAGATCTGAAAATCCCAACTTTCAAAACTGTTGTTGAACAAAAAAAAAAAACAGACTCCTGGGCTCAAAGGAGTAGGGCGCCAACCCCATGTGCCGGAGGGTAGCGGATTCAAACTCAGCCCAGGCCAAAAACTGCAAAAACAAAATAAAACAAAAAAATAAACAAACAAACAAAAAAACCCAGACTCCTTAAAATTGTAACTCAAGTTTCAGCTTAGGAGATACCAAGGGGAGAATAAAGAACTGTATCTCAGTACTATATTAAGCTGTCCTGGCCAGACAGAGTGGCTCATGCTTATAAATCCAGCACTTCTGAGAGGCTGCGGTAGGAGGACTGTTTCAGGCCAAGTGTTCAAGACCAGCCTGAGCAAGAGGAAGACCCCATCTCTACTAAAACTTTAAAAAATCAGCCAGGTGTTGGGGGGGAGGAGCTGCCGATAGTCCCAGCTATTCAGGAGGCTAAGGCAAGAGGATCACTTGAGCTCAAGAGTTGGAGGCTGCAGTGAGCAACCAATGATGAAGCCATTACACTTCTACAGGGGCGACAGAGTGAGATTCTATCAAAAAAAAAGTGTGGTCCAAACTTTTGTGTATGTGTGAACACAGCTACAGACAAAAGCCTTCTCCATTGAGCAGAAACTTCTTAAAAAAGCAAATTGTCACTACAGCTTTGACCAGTAATAGATATTCTTCTTTAAAGAAAAAAAAATCAATGAATTAACTTAAAAGAAGCTATAGCTAGGAAAGGCCCAAGGCCCCTGGGAGTACTGCCAGAAAGGAGCCCTGCTACCGCCTAGAACAAGCCCCAGTGTGGTTGCAGCCTCCTCCACGGGGGCTGGAGCTATACCTCTGGACATCGTAGTTGGCATTGAACAGACTTCCCTGCCAGAGGCTTGTAATCTCCTCTGTCTCCTTCTCGCTGGGTTTTCCTGACACAGTGACAAACATCATGAGCGTCTTCCCCTTCTTGGTCATTTTCAGTATGCTTTCAGGCTTGCCCGGGTCTAGCTTGGAGAAGTCCACAGGTGCAGGGGGCCTCTTATGCTCTGGGAGGTCTCCTTCTTCAATATCGTCATCTTTCTGTGGGGTGCATCAAACGTATCATCAGAAACTTGATTTTCAACCGCCATAGGCAAAAACACCTGCTATGACATCAGGTGCGGGCACACGCCGTAAGTTATGACAGAAAAGGCAAATTCAGGAGGTTTCTTTGTCCACTAGACTTTCAAGCAAAGTCTAAGTTTGGAGCACCACTTACAGTATGCACTGCTCAGGTTACCAATCAGAGAACCACATATGATACATTTCTAGAGCTTTTACACTCTCAAAAGAATCTATGAAGCAAGACAATTAAGTTCACCAACTTATCCTAGAAAAAGTGCTATATATCTCACTGCTGAATGTCACTATAGGTCACCTTCAAGGTGCTCCCCTTGGGAAGCTGTGCACTGATGCCAGCACCTAGTCTACCCTTCAAAGCAGTTTTGGAATTCTTTTTCTGGAATGGCCATCTGAGCTGTTGTTATACAAGGTTGAACAATTAAATCTGCGAACTCATCCTAGAAAAAGTGCCATGTACCTCACTGCTGAGTACCACTACAGTCACCTTCAAATTACTCCCCATAGCCATCTGGTGACCATAGTGATAATCAACAGTGAGGCACGTAACACTCTTTCTAGGATGAGTTCGTGAACTTAACTGTTTGACCTTTTATTTGTGAATATGGTGAATTATAAAAATGGTCCTATTCTGGTATAGTCACATGATGAAATACTTCACAGCAATGAAAATGAGTAAGCACTGATACACACAACAAGTCTCAAAAATAATGAGTGACAGAAGTCAGGCACAAAATAAGATATACTATACAATTCCATTTACTTGAAGTTAAGAACAGGCAAAACCAATCTAGGGTGACAGAAACTAGGACAGTGGTTGCTGGTGGGAGGGTATGAGGTGGGAATGATTGAGAAGGGACATGAGAACTTTTCTAGGGTGATGGATGTCAAAGTTTACATTTTGACAGGGGTATAGATTACACGGATATATATCTACTTGTCCAAACTCATTACAGTGTATACTTAAAATCTGTTTCAATGATTAAGAGGACGAAAGAAATGTGCATTTGATACATACCTATTCACCTAAATAATAACCACTGTATAAATATATTCGTTTTATTTTTTAAGGTTAGTCAAGTGAAGCAGTGGGTGTGGAGAAGGAACAAGGAATCTGTTAACTGGTTATGATCAATTAGTTGTAAACACCATTGCACTCAGACCAGCCTGTATGAAAATTCTCAACTCTACTGAGTAGGTTTGCTTTCTGCAGTGGTAGGAACTAGCAGCTCTGAAACTATCTTCTGTGACAGCGAGGCTTGAGCAAAGGAGTATATACACTAAGCATGAGAGCCAGGTTCCTCACTTTTGAGAAGAAAGTTAACAAATATGAAAGGGGAAAGAATGTACCCCTTTAGGCTAAAATTGAAGGCACCAGAAAAAAACTCCTGGTTTTTAACAGATTAACAAATATTAAAGTGATGAAACATTCAAAAGAACCTAGAATATCTTCTTGCCTTGCAAAGGAAGAGAGTGCTCAAAAAAGCATGGAACATGATGGGTATGGTGGCTCACTCTGTAATCCCAGCACTTTGGGAGGTGGGAGGATCAGTTGAGGCCAGAAGTTCAAGACCCAGCCTGGGTAACGTGGAGAGACCTAGTTTCTACAAGAAATTTATAATCAAAATTAAAAAATTAGCAGGGTTTGGTGGTGCATGCCTATAGCCCTAGCTACTCCAGAGGCTGAGGCAGGAGGATTGCTTAAGCCCAGAGTTTGAGGCTGCAGTGAGCCATGATGATGCCACTCAGGCTGGGAGACAAAGCAAGACCCTATCTTTAAAAATAAACAAAACAGGAATCACCAAGCATAACATGTCAAAATGACAAAGAGGCCAACTTGAAGCAGCTTTCATGAGCTCAATATGGAATAATCTGAACATCAAAATACATAGTAGTAACGATTTATAATCCCTCAAATAAAATAAGAGCCATGGAATCCATGATATGAACAAATGAATAAATTACCTACACTAGAATACCAACCAATAAACAGAATACAGACAGACAGATAAAAAATACTTAAAAGAACCAGGTTCTGGAACAAGTTCCTTGGAGAAAAGGCTAACGTGGGCAACAAGGAGCAAAGTGTTGACTGACACGGGCCACAGCACAGACAAGCCTTGGAAAGGCTGCCTGACACACAAGGACACACACCCTGTGATTCCGTTTCTCGGAAATGCCCAGAACAGACACATCTGTCCAGAAAGAAAGTATACTAGTGACTGCCTACGGCTGCCTGGAGTTGGGAGAAAAAGGGGGAGGAGTGATGGTTTCTTTTCCGTGAGATAAAAACATTCTAAAACTGACTGAGGTGATGGTTGTACAACTCACTGACCATATTAAAAACCACCAAAATGTACACTTTAAATGTGTAAATTGCATATGGAATGTGAATTATATCTTAATAAAGCTGTTATGGAAAAAACCAATCAAAAATACTGTTAATAAAAAGTGAAAACAAAAGATTCTATAGCAGAGGTTGAAGGTGACCTGCTATGAGACCTGGGCCCTGGTTTCAGCTCTATATAACTAGCTGTGCGACTCTGCATATCAGTCCTTACTCCCTGAGGCCTGTTTCTCAGCTACGAGTTGAAAAGTAGAATGACTCGATCTCTGAGGCTCCAGCAGTGTGACCACACATAACATACTAACCATCTCAACTCTGCCACCCTCCCAACTGACCTGTTTCTTCCTCATTTTGCTTTGAAAGAGCCGCAGATAGTGACTTGTAGTCAGGAACACAGGCTGTGCAGTCAGATGGATTTAGGTTCAGCTCTCTACCTCACCACTATGTGGCCTTGGGTAAATTACTTAGCACCTCTGAAAGTAACTTTCCTCCCCTACAATGAGTAGGTGAGGAGTAATAATAATACCTACCTCCTAAGATTTCTTCTGAGATTTAACAAGTTCAAGGTAAGCAACGCTCAATATTGTATATATGGCTAGTACACTACTCATTCATTAGGCTCTTGTACTCTGGACTCCACACACAGTCACCCTACAGAAATTACACTCTCAAAGCCACCAAAGAGCTCCTAGATATCAAATCCACAGGTTGTTTCTGTCTTCATTCTGTCCTACTTCTCCACAACATCTGTTATGGCTTTATTAAAACACTCCAAGACTTCTAGACTTAGTTCAGTACCTAGAATATTTGTATTTTTCAAACTGATTACACTGGCTCAATGCCTGTAGCTCAACAGCTAAAGCGCCAGCCACATACCCTGGAGCTAGCAGGTGTGAAACCAGCCAGGGCCTGCCAAACAATGACAACTACAACCAAAAAACAGCTGGGAGTTGTCGTGCGCACCCATAGTCCCAACTACTCAGGAGACTCAGGCAAGAGAATCACTTGAGCCCAAGAGTTTGAGGTTGCTGTGAGCTATGATGCCACAGCACTCTACCTAGGGTGACCTAGTAAGACACAGTCTCCAAAAAAAAAAAAAACCAAATTGACTTCACTAATGTTCACAAAATTAACTCAGGGGGTCACAAAGGGCATTTCTTTTTTAATGAGAATATAATTAAATAATCATAATTAGTGTATACAGTTAAACTGTTCCAAGAAACTTTAATTTTCATTTTATGTCTTTGTGTATGTTTCAGTTACAGGGAAAAAAAAATTGGAATCAACACCCCAATGGCCTGGAGGACATTATGCTAAGGAAACTAGGCCAGGCCCAGAGACACAAATGCTGCCTGTTCTCCCTCACTGTGTGGGACCTACAAAAACTGTGCTCCTAGAAGCAGAGAGGAGAAGAACAGAGGAGGATGGCTAACTGGGAGGAGGAGTAAGTTTCAGCACTCTGCAGCACTGCAGGGTGACAATAGCTAACAATGACTTATCATGTACTTGCAAACAGCTGAGAGAGAATTTTGAATGTTCTCAACACAAAGCAATGATAAATGTTTGAGGTGACAGATATACTAATTACTCTGATTATTACACACTATGTATACTTAATTATCGAAATCCCCAAACTATGTATAATTATCAAAATCCCACTTTGTACCCCATAAATATGTACAATTATGTGTTAATTAAAATAAAAATTGCAAAAATATGGCAGTGCCAAAAATGTATACATATCGTAAGTGATGTTATCTGTGCATCCGATGTATAGACTCTGAGCACCTCTTGTAATTGCAGAAGTCAAACATGACTTGTATTCCTCTTGTCACAGCACATATTGCATATTACAATTTAATAATTGAATACATGTGAATACATTTTTTTAAAATCTTCTGTAGTACCCTAGACGTAACTGTTCAGTTCTACTTAGTTCCAAGGCATCCCTGAGTAATCCTATCTGTTCTTAGCACTTTCTCCGGGCTGAAAACAAGTCTCACCTCAAGGCAGGGCTGGAACCTGGCCCACCAAGTCAGTCCCTCCCTAGACCCAGCCCTGATTCCAGGCCAATCTTGCATTTTCAAGTGGCTTCACAAGGTTCCCATTACTGTTTGTCAAAGTCAACAGCTACAAACCTGAGCTGCCCCTTCTTTCTCCCATGATCCTTAATAGTAACTACCATTTACAGAGTAGCTACTATGTTACAGGCACTTCTGGGACATTACCACCAACCTTTAGGGCAATCCTAGGTCTTCAGTTAATATATGAAGAAGATGAGGCTCAGAGGAGGTAATTTATTCGGTTTACTCACATGCTAGTAAAGGTAGCCATGAAGTGCAAACCCACATTTCTGACTCCAAATTCCCCCATCTGCCCCTTCCCATTACACCCAGTTAGCATGATATAAAATAAAATAACTACCTTTGGTTATTTTTCTATGCAATTGGGACTCAGCATTAGTTCTAACACAATGAAAAGAGTTCTTACCTTCTTCCCACACACGTAAAGTATAGCCTCTCACTGAAGCACTGATTCTCACACTACCAGGGAAGAATAAGGTATGTATCTGGGGACTGCCACTGGGGGAAGAATTACTGCTTCCTACAATAAAAGCACCCACAGAGATGGATATGCTCTCCTACAGAAAAATCCTGGCTGCTGGGGAAGGGTGCTCACGTTTGCAGAGTGTCTATAAACATCAGCTCATTTAATCTACATGCAGGTTGGATGTTATCCAGCTGTACAGATACCTGAAACTAGGGACAAACAGCTAGCCAGGGGCAAAGTAAGGTTCACAGTCTGCCCTTTTACTACATGATGCTGTCACCCTCCTGTTCACACAATCAACCAACTACCAAGTCCTGTTACGAACATAAAATCTCTCCCATTTCTCCGTCCACTCCACTCCAGTAGCTTCTAGTTCAATCCAAGTCTTCCTTATCTTTCACGTATACTTCTATTCACCAATGTGTATGGCACTGTAGTAAAATGTTTCAAACAACAGGCTCTCAAGTGACAGAATTTTGAAACTTGGCTGGCTTGCTGTGTGACCTCAAGCAAGTTATTTAACTTCTCTGTGCTCAATGTCATTTAGACAGGGATAAGTACCTCCCTCATCAAAGGGATCAAAGGATTAAATGAGATAACGTGTTTTTCTATGCCTTCAGATTCTCTCCCATGAAGATAATGCCATAACCCGGGGAAATGCTTAATAGCTACTAAATGAAATAATGAACAAAAAATTCCATCTATGCTATGATTTCAGCCATAAAAATTACGTCTGTATGGTACTCAAAAAGTGAAAATGTTTTGAGATAAGGTTAGGGATGACCAACTACTGTATGAACATTCTAGTATTGTAATATTTGGGTAATACAACTTTTCATACTCACCAGACCAACATATTTCCTTTTAAATAAAGTACAAACTCTGTAGCATTTAAGACCTGCGTCCCACCTACCATCCCATTTTTACCTGTCGCTACTTTGTTTCAGTCTATTCCTGCTAACTAAATGATTCAGCACAGCTACTGCCTCCTGAATTTTATACTATTCCATGTTCTTAACCTGTCTGCTCAGTTAATCTTTGCAACTACTTTAAGATGGATACTACTAACACCTCCATTTTGCAAAAGAAACTAAGGCACAGAGGAGTTCTTTGCTAAATTTACAAGTTTAAGTGATTTGAACTTAAGCAATGTTAACTCCAGAGCCTTGGCTGTTAACCTCTGTGCTCTTCTGACCAGGTCGTACATTCTCAGGTCATGCTACTCTGTTAGAAATGCCTTTCTCCCACATTTCCTTAGCCTGTCTAACGTGCTATTGCCCCCCCCACATTTGCCTTGTCCTAACTAAAATGCCATTTCCTTCCTGAAGTCCTTTGAGATTCCCATAGCACTTTCTTTACATAGCACCCACCAATTTCTACTTGTATTACAGTTTTTATTGTTTTTTATTTATCTTTGTTTTTCAAAGCAGAGTCTTGTTCTGTTGCCCTGGCTAGAGTGTTGGGGCATCATCATAGCTCACTGCAAACTCAAAACTCCTCGGCTCAAGCAATCCTCCTGCCTCAGCCTCCCAAAGTAGGTGGGACAACAGGCACCCACCACACCCAGCTATGTAGTAGTTATTTTAACTGTTATCTACAAGTACTTTTCCTCATGAAGTCCTTGCTCATCTATGCAGCACCCTCTTCATCTAGCTCAGGGTCTATGTATTTATAGGGTTAAGATTTCCCATTAAGATGATGTTTTCACTCCAGCAGACCTAAAGGCTTTACTTACTAGAGTCCAGAAAGAGACAGGGAGATTGTAAGGGAGTGGTATATCAATGGGGAAGTTTCCTTTTCACGTTCAAATCTACTCCAATCTTTACATCAGCTGCTGATAAAATACATGGAAACACAAGCTTGCTTTCTTCTAGTCAAATGCATCAGGTGGTATTTTAAGCTCATGCCCACAACCAACACACACATAGATAATTACAAAATAGCAAAACGTCAGTGTTGTAAAGAACCATCCAGTAAACCTTCTCATTTTGCAGATAAGGAAACTGAAGCCCAGAAAGGAGACATGACCCTGTACAAATCACCAGGACAGCATAACCACATTGAGAGGAAAAGGCAGCAACATGTTTTCAGTCAACTTTACCCTAAAAGCTTACTACACATTCCTTGTAACTGCCCACTCTACAGCATCGAAGTAACAAACCAGAAACGTGTCATTCATTGTTCTTTAAAGGAAAAGTGTGAGCTCTATGATAGACCCATTGGCCTCACAGCCACTTGCTATCCCCACTTCAATAAAATAAATCCACCAACACCAACAAAATTACAAAATTTCCAACAGGGACATATACCAAAATGGGAAGCCTAAAATTCTATCGACTTAGGAGACGAGAACTCTCAAAGCTGAGATAACCCTCTCGAAAAATAATAATCGCAACCCACTCAACCCAAAACGAAGGGGGAAAAGAGAAAACACTCTTCAGTAGTCGACTGGGAGAGGTCTCCTTCCTTGTTTGCAGAGGTCCCTGGCCACGCGGAACAACACAGAGGCGCCTAGGGCACTGAAGGGAAAAGCAGGGCTGAGTTGCTGACCCGTAACTGGAGTGGTCCAAGACGCGGTGGCAAGTGGAAGATAACACTGAACGAGGGGACCGGGGCAAGGGTTGGCAGGACGTGAGGGAGTCAAAGGCGATATGGAGGGTCAGCGATGGTCAGTAAGGATTCGTAGCATGAGCAGAGATTTAGGGGGTCAGAAGACAGAAACGGGGGCAGAAAGATCCCAAGAGCGAATGAGCAAAAAGGTCAGTGGGAGCGGGGTCCGGACAGAGAAGAGGAGGGTGTGCGCGCGCAGCGGACCTCCCACTGTTCCAGAAGACGCGCCATGTCCGCATCATTGTAATCGCGAATATCCTTCTTCTTCTTCCGGGGAGGTGGGGTAGCCTCGCCAAGTGTTCCTGCCGGGCCTTCGGCAGCGTAGGTCCCAGGCGACGGCAGCAGCAGCAACAGCAGGTCAGAGACACAAAGCAGCACGACTACTGAGCGAGCCCAGCTGGAGGCAGCCATCTTCGCCGTGCCGCCCCTCTGACGGCGGCGCACGGGATTCCGCTTCGCCTACGCTCTGGCCCCGCCCCTTGGACGCCAGGTTCCGTGGCCCCGCCCCCGGCCCTCGCTGGCCAGCCGGGCTCCGCCCCGTCCCATTTCCTGAGGCCCCAACCTCTGGAAACCCTGCCTCCGTATCTTGGCCCCGCCCCTCTCCGCGGGCTCCTCCCCTTGGTCCGGCTGAAGCTTTCTGTCCAGGCTGGGTCGGTCCCAGTTTTCCTTCTCCGGAACGCACAGGCGGGATCCAAAAGCACCCTCGGGGGCCTCAAGGACCCACCAAACAGCGTCCCGCGAGACCTCAGTTTCTCGCCTGTGAAATAAATAGAAGCTGGAAATTCGGGAAGCTGCCTCCACTCTAAAAACGCCCACTTCAGGGCAGTGGGCTTCAGACGTTCACCCTCAGTCTCCTGCAGTTTCCTTTGAGAATAGCCAATTAAAAAGAAGTTGGTGGCAAGTAGGACAACGTTTTTCAGTAAGTTGTAAATAGGTCGGGCCTATTGCTTTCCTGATCATTATAGAATGCAATGCAACCAACTTTCAATGTTATCTTCAAACTCTCGTTTTAAAGTCATTTTTCATTTTTTAAAAATAGCTTCAGTTTTCGATTTCAACCTAATACGTAGGCAATGACTAATAATCCTTTTTAAGGATGAATCACTCTAGTTTTTGTTTCTTTAAAAGTCGGGCCAGGGATGCTTTAAGATTCCGTGCGTTTGAAATGGCTGGTCCGACGATTTCTTTTAAACTTTTAACTACATAAGACATGAATCACTCCTAGTAGTAAAATATCCAAACATTATATAAAATTTAAATTCCAACCCCACAATTCTACTCCACATTAACCATTACATAGTGCATGTATTTTTCTATACATTTACAAACATCAAAGTATCTCTAGAAAGGATTTTGTTGCATTTTTATCTGTCTATGGCATTCTACCGTAGGATTGTTAAGCATATTGGACTCTGTGTTTTCCACTTAATATTTCGTGGAGAACTTTCATTCTTTATGCTGGTGCACAGGTTTCTTTTCTTTTTTTGAGACAGCCTCAAGCTGTCACTCTGGGTAGAGTGCCATGGCACACCTCACAGCAACCTCAAACTCCAGGGCTTAAGCGATTCTCTTGCCTCAGTCTCCCAAGTAGCTGGGACTACAGGAGCCCGCCACAAATGCCCGGCTATTTTTTGGTTGTAGTTGTCATTGTTGTTTGGCAGGCCAAGGCTGGATTCAAACCTGCCCTGGTGTACGCGGCTAGTGACTTAGCTGCTTGAGCTACGGGGGCCAAGCCAGTGCACAGGTTTCTGTGGTACCATTATACCAATAGGCTGCATATAACAGAAAACTGACTTTTTAAAGAGTTAAATAAAATCACTTTGTTTTGATTGTTTGTCTTTCACACAAACAACAGAAACTACCTGTCTAGAGCTGGTATGGTGGTTCCACAGTCATCCGGCACCCAACATCTTTCTTATTCTGTTCCCTTATATTGGCCTGTGGCTTCCACTTTCTAGGTCACCATAAATTCCAGGATGGCTACTGGAGCTCTAGCCATAAAGATGACATTCAACCAGAAAAAAGAAGGCAGGCAGGCCAACACAGCATACCTTTCAAATGGAGTCAACTTCCTTTAAGCAGTCTACTTGAACATCACACACACATTTGTTTACATTTTACTGGCCAGAACCTAGCTCTTCAAGGGAAGAAGTATACATTGTCACTTCCAAATAAAATTGGAATTCTGTTATCAAGGGAAAAAAAATAAAGTGAGGTTGAGTAATCAACTAGCTAGTAATGTCTTCCTTCCTTCACTCTTAGGACCAATGCAGTTTAAACTGTCTCCTACTCTAGTGGTAGTTGATGATCTTCATGTGTACAACTATATGTAAACATGCCATGCTATGACATTTCCTATTGACGTTGAGCAGAAACAACTCATCAAGTGTTTTTATTTTCCTCTCTTGAAATCACAGGGGAAATGTCATAAGCTTTCTCCCCAGAGCACACTGCTCCACCCAGTGGCTTGGAGCCCTATACTGGTGCAGTCATGCTAAAAAAACATGCACAGCTGTGGCTGATCATGTGCTTGGTTGGGAGGGGTCATCCTGGTAATTCATTTTGCCAGCTTTCAAGTCAAAGAGCAAAAGTGCTGGGATTCTTGGCCACAGTATCTAGTTATAGATTATAATAGTCATTGAGAGTTTTACAGAAATTGTTGAGATTGTGTAAGAAATTCCAGGGCTACTGATTTTCATCTAAGAAGGAAATAAATTTAGGATATAATCCACTGATGTGGAAACATCTGGATCCATTGTGTTTTCAACATTTTGATATTTGACACTTGGTATTTAGAACTTGATTCAGTTGAAGTCTGGAGAATTTATTTACTAAGGACCTACTGTTAATCAACAACAAGGTGAGGTACTATTGGAAATATTAACATAACAAGATTCTTGGTCTTAGAGCTTTTGGACTAGCAAAAGAGATAAACAATATGGAGTAAATTTCATGCAGATTATGGGAGATCAGGGCCTGAAGAGATGATGTACAGATGACGATAACGTCCCTATTTTAAATAAGAGGAAACTCTCATTTTGTAATTACATAATTTGTCTGAGGTCACACAGCTAGTACAGCAGCAAGACAAGATTCTAAGCCCAGGTGTGCCGGACAAGAGGGACCAGTCTTCCTTGGTTCCTGTCTTCCATCAAAGCACCATCTGGATTCATCACTGAGGCACTCAGGATAAACTGGGAGCCATATGGAAAGCAGGCTGAAAAGAGCCTGGAGTCAGGAGCAGTCAAGATGGGAGAAGAGTCTGAACTAGCTCTGAGGCAGTGCAGTACAGAGCCGGAGGACAAAGGAAAGAACTGGAAGAGATTGTGTGGTCACTGCCTAAATGAAGCCAAACTTCTCTCTTTGTACTGGCGTTAATACTAACCCCACCTCTCAGTGGTTCAGTGACTGCATATGGTAAAATTGAACCTCAGATCTAATTACAGTGTCCTAACCTGAGCTCCTGGCATGCATTACTCCATAACAGAGGAGAGTAAAGCAAGACTTTATTGTCAAACTGGAGTAGCACAATTACTAATTAATCAGAACTCAGATCTACAACTTGAAGGGTAGTACCCGCTACACCAAACATCAACCTTTTTCTTTCCCTTTTTTTTTGAGACAGTGTCTCACTTTGATGCCCTTGGTAGAGTGCCATAGCATCATGGCTCACAGGAACCTCCAACTCTTGGGCACAAGCAATCCTCTTGCCACAGCCTCATAAGTAGCTGAGACTACAGGAGTCCACTCCAACGACCCACTGATTTTAGAGACAGGATTTCGCTCTTGCTCAGGCTGCTCTCAAACTCCTAAGCTCAGGCAATCCACCTGCCTCAGCCTCCCAGAGTGCTAGGATTACTGGTATGAGCCACCGTTCCCACCTGAAACATTAACTTTTTAAGGAGTAAATCGGGAAAGGTATGAGAGGAGGGGCATGGGGCTGGAGCTGAGGTAGGAATGAAGGCAGCAATGACTACCATTTTTCACTTTTGCTGCTTTTTAGTCTAATCCAATAACAAGGTACTGCATACTTTTTAGGGGTTTTATGTGCCCCTAAATTTACTCTTTTAATGAAGTTTTTAATTCCATGGAAAAGCAAATATCATCACTTTAGTTGTTAACTTTTTGTTGCAATTGCTTGGTTGCCTTTTGATTGCAATTTCAAATTTGCAGTAGAGAATGTGATTAGCCCAGCCTGGGGCAGGTGTCCATTCCTGGTCACCACCATTATTTGCAGAACTCAAGAGTTAAATATAACAATTAAAACTTGTGTTTACCAAACATCATGAATAAAAGCTAAGCCCAGGTGTGCAAACTGGGCTTAGTAGGCAAACTAATTTGGAAAAACTCTAGAACAGGTGTCCTCAAACTGCGGGCCATATGCAGCCCCAGAGGACATTTATCCTGCCCGCTGGGTGTTTTTGCCTCCGCTGCCTGTCCTTTTAGCAGCCAACTCGTCCTGGGGCCTGCAGTCCAGCCCTCCAACCATCTGAGGGACAGTGACCTGGCCCCCTGTTTAAAAAGTTTGAGGACCCCTGCTCTACAACATGGTATACACAATAATAGCTTACAAATTACTAAGAAAAAGATGAACACCTCAGTAAAAATTGGGAATGGCTATAATCAAGTAATTCCCAAAACGTCCAGTTTCTATATGGCCAAAAAAATAATTACAGAATCTCACTATCAATTGGTCTTGGATAAAAATAAAGACAGTACACATCCTTAAAGATAGTATATCCTTCTTATTCACTTCTGGGATGCAGAGTTTTTCTGCATGAAAATTAAGTGGAAATACAGAGTGTCCATAAAGTTGGTGTGCAATTTTGACTATTTTAAATTGCACACTTTATGGACACCCTGTGTATGAAAACCCCACCAAATGTGCATTTTCTGATTAGCAATTCCACTTCCAGGAACTGACACTGAGGAAACTGACAATGACAGTAACAATAATACTGAACACTTACATTGTGACTGACACTCATATAAATCCTTTATATGTATTTCTTCACTTACCCATTGTTACAATCCTATATAATATTCTCTACAAGAGGAGAAGACAGGAACTAACAAGTGTTTCAAAAATAGAAGACTACATAATCTATATTTGCAGATTGCAAGATATAGTCCACTCATACAGTGAAAAATAATTCAATAATTATATAAGATGAGGCCGGGAGCAATGGCTCATCACTCTAGGAGGTTAAGGCAGGAGGACTGCTTGAGCTCAGGAGTTCAAGACCAGCCTGAGCAAGAATGAGACCTCTTCTCTATTAAAAACATAAAAATTAGCCAGGCATTGTAGTGGGTGCCTGTAGACTCAGCTACTAAGGAAGGTGGATCACTTGAACCCAGGAGACTGAGGTTGCTGTGAGCTAGGATGACACATTTGCACTTTAGCCTAGGCAACAGAGTGAGACACTCTTTCATTTAAAAAAAAAATTATATATTATGAGACCTCAAAGATGTTTTTATATTATTAAATGATAAAAATAGTATTAAAATCATACAGATATATACTTTCATGTATAGAAAAATAGCTACAATATGTATGGCTATCTCTAAGCAGTAAGATTTCAAATTATTTTAATCTTTTCTCTGTATTTTGTATTTTTCTCCACATCTAATTCAAATTATTTTTATCTTTTCTATTTTGTATTTTGCTCCACGTCTAACATACATCAGTTGTGTTTTAAATGAGAAAGACACACATAAAACAGACTGATGCTCACAAAATTTGTGTACACAGATAACAAAACAGAGGGACACTGCTTCACAGGGAAAACACATTAGGCCAGAGAATGCAGCTCACCTCACTGACCATCAGGTGGCACTGGAGACAACACACAGCTTGGTTGTTAGTTCACACTGGTGCAGTGTAAAAGTTGGGTATCACAGCTGTAATCCTAGCTTTCTGGGAGGCCAGAATGGAGGTTGGTGGATCACTTGAGCTCAGGAATCTGAGACTAGCCTAAGCAAAGCGAGACCTCCGTCTCTACTAAAAATAGAAAAAAAAAAAAACAACTAGCTAGGCATTGTGGTCGGCCCCTGTAGTCTCAGTTACTCAGGAGGCTGAGACAAGAGGATCACTTGAGTCCAAAAGTTTGAAGTTGCTGTGAGCTATGAGGCCATGGCCCTCTACCTAGGGCAACTATGTGAGACTACGTCTCAAAAAAAAAAAAAAAAAAAAAACCAGAGTGCTTTTATCATTCAGGTTAAAAAGTAAGTAAATGTTACTGCCCTATAGCCTGAATGACAGTGAGACCACTTCTCTTAAAAAGAAAAGAAAAAGAAAAAAAAAAAACTGGCTCAGCGCCTGTAGCTCAGTGGGTAGGGCACCAGCCACATATACCAGGCAGGTGGGTTTGAACCCAGCCCAGTCCCGCCAAATAACAATATGACAACTGCAACCAAAAAATAAGCTGGGTGTTGTGGTAGGCGCTTGTAGTCCCATCTACTCGGGAGGCTGAGACAAGAGAATGGCTTAAGCCCAAGAGTTGGAGGTTGCTGTGAGCTGTGACACCACTGTACTCTACTGGGCAACAGAAAAAATTCTGTCTCCAAAAAAAAAGAAAAAACCTGATAAACTACAATATTGATGAAAGTTAGACATTATGCTAAATGAAATAAGCCAGACATAACAGGAAAAATATTGTATTATTCCACTTACCTGAGGTACCTACAATAGTCAAATAAAATAGTGTTTGCCAGGGGTTGGGGTCAGGAGGTGGAATAGAGAGTTTTGGTTGGGGGAAGATGAAAAATTTATAGAGAAAGATTGTGTTGATAGTTGCACAACAATATACTCAATATCATTGAGCTGTATACTTAAAAATGGGTAAGATGGTACATTTTATATTGTTTTACCACAATTAAAAAAACAGCAACCAAACAGAGCGCTCATACTATTCTTTAGCTTGAAGTCCAGGTGGTAGACATACCTTCTAAAACAGGCAAATGAGGGAAAAAGTGTTTCCCCAATCCTGCCTGTCCCAACCTCTGTCAGTTCCATTTTTACCTGCCCACATCCTCATTTAGTTCTCTTTGCATCTTGCTCACTTACTTATCAAATGCCTATAACTCATGGGCCTTGGGCCAGTGCTGGGAATGCATTCTCCAGGAGCCAGCCCCTGTCTGCACAGCCCCAGCTCCCTCCTGTCTACTCTATCTACATTTCCCAGCCAATCCTCAGTCCACACGTTTGCAGCTTTCTTCTCTCACTCAATATCCATTTTAATAAAAAATATTGTCCTAGTCTATTTGCACTGCTATTGACAAAACATTGTGGACTGGGTAGTTTACAAATAACAGAAATTTATTGCTTACAGCCCTGGAGGTTGGGAAGTCTAAGATCAAGGTGCCAGCAGATTCTGTGTCTGGTGAGGGTCCATTTCTCATAGATGGCAACTTGTTGCTGCATCCTGCATCCTAGATGACCCAAAGACAAAAGGAAGAGGTGACTAACTCCCTCACACCTCTTTTATAAGGTCACCAATCCCATCCACAAAAGCTCCACCCTCATGAGTTAACTACCTCCTAAGGGCCCCACCTCTTAATATTACCATATTGGCCATTAAATTTCAACATACAAATTTTGTGGATCAGACCATAGCAAATATCTTATGTAAGACTTTTGGTTCACATTTATTTTAATTATAAAAGAGCGTTAGAAGGGGTGATAGATAGAGTTTTCTAAAGGAACAGCCCTTACTCCAGTGACACTAGGGTCAGATACAAACAAGTCCTATTCCATGAATCAAATTAGACTGTAAAATATGCTAGCAAAATGTGCTACAGCAGCAAACAACCCAAAAAACTCAGTGGCTTAACCCAATAGAAGCTTATTTTGCACTCATTATACATCCCATACAAGTGGAGAGTCTGCTCCACAACTCACCTAGGCTTATGGGGGCTCCATAAACTGAAACAGCTTCCTACAGTAGTCACCGCAGGGTAAGAAAAAGAGAATTACAGATTGGCTTGTCACTGCGTGGGCCTGGTATGACTGCACATCACTGATACTTAAGTTTCATTGGTCAGAACAAATCACACGACCTTGCCTAACCACAATTAAAATATCTGGTAGGCCTTACTATCTCTGCCGTAGTTTCTTTATAGCACTGAAGCAAAGATTGTTGCTGTGTTCTCTGCTCCCTGTTCTCTAATCTCCAAGAGCGGAGGCCTCATGTTACTTACCATGTAACTTGGGTGCCTAGCATACCAGAGGTGCCCAATGTCTGCGGAGTGAATGAACAATGGACAGAAAGTCACGGTGAATCTGAAGGAAGGCAGAGATAGTCCCTGGAAGGATCAGTTTGGAGGAGTTTCCCTCTCTGAAAAATGAAGCAGAGAAGGCTGAGAAAAGAATCCTACTAATTTTTAAAGCTTAATCAAACCTCACTCAATAGTGTGGGATAGTTTACATGTAACACAGCTATCACTGTCTGTGGGATAGTTTACATGTAATACAGCTATCACTGTCCGGTGGGTTCCAGCAACAGTAACAACCAAACTGCATATGTAGAAGAAAAGAAAAATAGGACTCCAAGGGCACCAAGGAGCTTTGGAAAAATAATCCCCTGCTCCCAGCACAGTTCCATGAATAAAGTAGGCATCGAGAAAAGGTTTGACTTCTCTCTCATAGTGTTTGTAGCTAAGAAAGACTAAGGTGCAATTCTGACATTACCGTGGAAAAAGCTTGATTCCCTCATGCTTCCCTTGTACAAGCATAAAAGGGAATAACCCTACGGAATTTCTGCCTGTTTCCAAAGTTGTCAGTTTTACTGACCTCGATTTGCAGAAAAAGTGGAATCATTTCGATTCCAAAAGCTATCTAAGGACACTTTGGTTATAGTAGGGTGACTATCCACCCAGGTTTGTACCTGCTGTTCCTGGTTTATTAATAGAATGTCTCACAGTTCACTCTTATAAGTGTTTAGGTTTGAACAATAAATTGCAATTCATCCTAGTTATAAGTAACAATTACAACTAGCTGGAAAGCAGGACCTGGGGTCCTAGGAAGGGACAGAGGAAAACAGTTGGCTGAGCACACCCACCTGTGTTGGGCCAGGCACCTACGTAGAAGGCGTGTTTGAACACTAAGAGATGGGGCACTTCTCTGGGAGGAAGCCCAGGTGTTTCAGCCACTTTCCAAAGAACGAGACGGAGGGGGTGGGGCTCCTGCCCAGTCATCTGCTGTCGTACTGACCATCAGTCTCCTTATCTGTAAAACTGGAATGGTAATGTTTACCTCCTAAGACTGTTTCACTTAACAGTGGCCACTATTATACCACTAGTAACGAAGAAATAGAAGTTACGAGAGGGAAAACTCTGCTGGTCCCGTCTCCTAATAATTTTAACAGCTAAATTTACGAATGAAGCACTCAGAAGGCACACAGTATCTGATTTCCATAAGAGAAAAAGGAATACCTCAAAATGATAACTAGCACGAGAACACACAACTCCTAACTGGTGAGTAAAGAATGATCCCCGGTAGCCTCGTTCAAAGCCCGCGCTCTAACGACATAAAGTGTATTTACAGTGAGGAGGCGGCAAGTTCTAGCCCCGCTCCTGGGGCTTCCACATCCAGTGCGCCCTTCCTCTTTCGTCTACACCGCACTGCCCTCTGAACCCACAGGGAAGAGATCAGACACAACAAAGGGTAGGGGAAACCCTTGGAAAACGGGTCGAAGTCGTGCAAACCAAGAAAACAGGCCCCCAGCAAATCACCAGGGGGTGACATCGAGTGTCCTCCTCTGTTCAGCCCAGAAAGCAGGTCACCTTTTAGATTTGCTCCCTCGGCGGGAAGGAAGCAGGGAGCCCCTGGTCCGGCTGAGAGCTTACGTAAGGCCAACGGGCAGCTGCGCCCGAGCTCCATGGGTGTGCGCAGAGCCCCTGGCCCGGGCGGGCCTCCCCCGTCGGCTCCCCCCGTCTCTCGGCCAGCGAGCGTGGGGGAGGCCAGGGACCACCGGCCCCGAGCCCGCAGCGTCCGCGCTGGGCGGCGGCGTCCTCCGGCAGCCACCCAGCTTCCCGGGGGAGGAGCAGCGCATCGCGCAAGCATCCGGGAGCGGCGGAGGGGGCGGGAGGAAGGGCAAGAGGAGGAAGCGGGATTTAAACGAAAGGCGGTGACGCCACACAAAAGATTTCTATAGGCTCCGGGGAGGTTACGGCCGAGGCGGCGGCGGCGGCGAGCCCGGGGGCGAGGCGCGGACGGGAAGAGGAAAAGCCTCGGGCAGCCCCTGCGGGCGGCGACGCACCCACGGCCGCGCTCGAGGTGAAGCCGCGCGCGGAGAGGAAGCGGGCGTGTTCCCCTCTAGCCTGTCGGCCCCCGCCCTTCCTTTCAGTTTCTCCCCGCTCGCTCGGAAGTTGGTGGTTGATAAAAATGGCAGGGGCCGGAGCCCGGGCCAGTTGCCGCAGCGCCGCAGGGACCTTCTGAGTTGGCTCGGCCGCCAGGGAGACGCGTGCGAGGGTGTCCGATGCGCGGGGCCCGGAGCCTCGGGAGAGCTCAGCCGCTGCGGGCCAGAGACGAGGAGGCGACGGGGATGGACTCGCGCCGACAGGCAGCGGCGGGCCGCCGGGCGCGCGGTCTGGGAGGGCGTGTCGCCGCGGCGCCGGGCCGTTCTGTGTGAACCCGAGAGGCGGGAAGGGCAGCCGCGGCTCCGGGCGAGATCGCGAGGGGGGCGGCCGCTGTGCGCAATCAGTGCAGGCTCCCGCCCGACTCTGACTCTGCGCGGCCGAGACAGCGCGGGCCACACCCTCCGCCCTGCCACCGGCGCGGCTTCGCAGGAACCGGAGGCAGGAGATGCGCCCGGGGCGGCCGCGCGTCGCAGAGCCAGCCCGGGCCGCCGTCGCAGGGAAGTGCCGCTTGGCGGGGTCGCGGCGCCTGAAGCCCACGTGCGCCGCAGAGCTGGAGGTGGCCTCGAACGCGGGTACTGACAGGAGAGCCTGCCCGCGCTGCCTCCCGCGCTCCTCCCCGAGGAAAGGATTTTGATTTCAAAGAAAGGAAGGAAGGAAGGACAACTCCCAGCTTCCCCGTCCCGCCCTCCCCGCTCCGGCGGCCGGGCCGGGTCATGCCCAGAAAGGCGGCGGCGGCAGCTCAGCAGAAGGGACTTTCCTGGCAGCGCGGCGACGAAGAGCGAAGACCGTGAGTTTGCCCTGCCCCGGTTCATGGTTGCTGCAAGTCCTCTGGGAGGCCGAACGCCAAAGCCCCTCCCCGCGCCCCGAAAAGCCTCCTGCGTTCTCTGGTCCTCGAGCCCAGCCCGCGCCGCCCGGGCTCCGGCCGCCGCAGCCCCGTGCCCCCCGCCCGCGGCGGTGGATGGCATGATGGTGCGGGGAAGGCACCGTGGTCTTGGCCAGCTGAATCGCGACGGCCGCCGGGGCTGCGGCAGTGGCCGCGACAGCGGTGGTGGTAGCGGGCTCCCCAGCGGCATGCCAGTGCCCCCCGGGCGCGATGGCTAGCGGCAGCTCGGGGAAGCCCACAGGCGAGGCGGCATCTCCGGCTCCTGCGAGCGCTGTCGGCGGCGCCAGCTCGCAGCCGCGGAAGAGGCTGGTGTCTGTCTGCGACCACTGCAAGGGCAAGATGCAGCTGGTGGCCGACCTGCTGCTGCTGTCGAGCGAGGCGCGGCCCGTGCTCTTTGAGGGCCCCGCCTCCTCTAGTGCGGGCGTGGAGTCCTTCGAGCAGTGCCGGGACACTATCATCGCGCGCACCAAGGGGCTTTCCATCCTCACCCACGACGTGCAGAGCCAGCTCAACATGGGCCGCTTTGGGGAAGCAGGAGACAGGCTGGTGGAACTGGGTGACCTGGTGGTGTCGCTGACCGAATGCTCGGCCCACGCGGCCTATCTGGCGGCCGTGGCCACACCCGGCGCGCAGCCCGCGCAGCCGGGCCTGGTGGACCGCTACCGCGTGACACGCTGCCGGCACGAGGTGGAGCAGGGCTGCGCCGTGCTGCGCGCCACGCCGCTGGCAGATATGACGCCGCAGCTGCTGCTGGAGGTGTCCCAGGGCCTGTCGCGCAACCTCAAGTTTCTGACGGACGCGTGCGCTCTGGCCAGTGACAAGTCGCGGGACCGCTTTTCACGCGAGCAGTTCAAGCTGAGCGTCAAGTGCATGAGCACGAGTGCATCAGCTCTCCTGGCCTGCGTGCGCGAGGTGAAGGTGGCGCCCAGCGAGCTGGCGCGCAGTCGCTGCGCGCTCTTCAGCGGGCCTCTGGTGCAGGCCGTGAGCGCCCTGGTCGGCTTCGCCACCGAGCCGCAGTTCCTGGGTCGCGCGGCGGCCGTGAGCGCAGAGGGCAAAGCGGTGCAGACCGCCATCCTGGGCGGCGCCATGAGCGTGGTGTCGGCCTGCGTGCTCCTGACCCAGTGCCTCAGGGATCTGGCGCAGCACCCCGACGGGGGCGCCAAGATGTCGGACCACAGGGAGAGGCTGAGGAACTCGGCCTGCGCCGTGTCTGAAGGCTGCACCCTGCTATCTCAGGCTTTAAGGGAGAGGTCTTCGCCCAGGACTTTACCGCCAGTGAATTCCAATTCTGTGAATTAGCACCCACCATACCCCTTCTTCACCCCAGACTAAAGGAGGTTACTTATTCTCTGCCCCTCTCCATTTATACCAAAGAAATCATAGGTGGAGCCCACACCTTCTGCCCCAATGTTATAAATGTTCGGGAGGAATGTTCCAAAAGGCAGGGCCCTGCGCCCCACTCCTAAGGGCCCAGGTGTGCCCCAGCCCCACACAGTAGAGGCTGGAGATGGAAGGTGTGTAATATGCCGGTTGTGGTATTTCTCCCATCCCTATCCCAGACCATCTTTTGGAATTTCTCAACTAAATTTTATTAATTGGGCAAGAAGGAGGTCATGGGTTCATTTCTTTTTTTGTTTTATCTTTTTTTATTTGATTAAAAGAAAGGTTACCTCAGTTTTCACTCCTTAGACATGGATGTAGCTACCTTTTTTGTATGTCGTTATTTTTTTTTTTTTTAAAGCAATCGTGTTGAATTAGGAGTATACTTGGTGTGGAAAGAGTATGAATTTGCCATGTGATTTGCAAATGGGGGAAAGCTACTGTGAGCGTGTGTTTTATTTTTGAATTTATACTATAGAGTGATTTTTACCCCCCAACGTCAAGTTTTTACCTTGCATGTACTGGAGTATTTATTTCATCTATTAAAATGTTATGTTTCTCAGATGGCTTTTTGCAATTATTGTTGATTTTTCAATAATTGTAATTTTGCATAATGCATGTATGGAAAGGGTGGGTGGAAAGACTCTTTAGTAATAGGGAGGGAGGTCCCCAACTCTTTCTACTTTTCCCTCAAGAATTATTCCTTTGAGCAGCCTAGTATGTAAGAAAAGAGGACTGTGTATAATGGTCCCAAGTGTATCCTGCTTGGGACAGGCTGTTAAGTGGGGGTCTTGCCTCTAATTTCTCCTGGAAAGTAACTTAGCTCCTTTGTCTCCATTCATCTTCCCTTTATAATGAACGGTGGTTCAGGCTGACTGAAGTTAGATTTGTATTCTGCCTGTCATTTTCAGCCAGGCTTCCTAGCTCAGGGCATCTATGTATGGAGCTGTGAAAATATTGTATGTCAAGAATACTCAGCATCTTTTATGTAGATAGGTCTGTTCAGAAAAGATTCTCGTGGTTTTAGAGTATATAGAGGATTTTAAACTCCTTAATAGAGAAGGAGGTATGTTGGATAGCGTTAAGAACTTTCTAGAGCCCTAGCATAATTATAGGCAAAATGGCTATTTTTGTGAGGTTGATCTAAGATAACACCGTGCTCAATTGTATGTTAGAAAAATGCTTTGTTGATTGATACTTGGAGTTTTATTAATGTAGTTTGTCTTTTTTGCAGACATTTTAAGGAATTTTTTTGTCTAGTAGTGGTGGTGAGATGTATAATTTGTTGAACCTGGTTAAATTTTGAACATTTTCCCACTAAAAGCACAACAGATTTATTTACAGTTCTTGAAGCTTGGGAGGACCACATGGGTAAAAGCTCATACATGCTTTAATTTGTTCAGTTTACATTTTTCTTGGGATTTGTTGTGCTTAAACCTCTGCATTTCCTACAAATCCGAAAAGAAAGAATTTTTCACTATAATAGATTACAGAGAAAAAAGTCATACTGTTTTTCTTGCTTAATGGCTATATTTATTACAAGAACATGAAATTCAGTGTGTAAAATATCTTAAAACTTTTACTGGGTGAGACTAGTACTGTTCCACTGCCTTAAATTTGAAGTTTGCAGGCAGCCCCTGTAGCTCAAAGGAGTAGGACCACAGCCCCATATGCCAGAGGTGGCGGGTTCAAACCCAGCCCCAGCCAAAAAACTACAAAAAAAAAAAAATTTTTTTTTGAAGTTTGCAAAAGTCTTAAAGTGGTAGATACATTTTTTTTTTTTTTAAACAGTCAAGAGAACAGTTGTTCTCTACTAGGTTCTGGTGAAATTTAATTTGAAGTCTTTAGAAGATGAAAATGACCTTGAGAATGTTTATTCCTTTCCCTCTACCCTACTGGTTCAGGTTCTGGAAGAATTGGGGAGGGGGTCCTAATTAATGTGCCAGTGACTATTCTGCATGTATGTAGAAATTTTTGTTGGATTTACACAAGTAGTAGAGTTCACTTAGGTGGTTGATTTAGCCTATGCAGATCACAAAGAAGAAATGAAAAGAACAAACTCGTAGTAAAAAGGGGAGAAGAAATGTGTAAATTTGATATTTGATTAAGAAAAGAAGAATTGCCAATTTTTTCCTGGACTTGTTCCTTGCACAAGGAATTTTCAAAGCAATTCAAGCAAAAAAAAAAAAAAAATCACTTCCACTGTTTACTTGGATAAAGTAAACTAGCTAGTAACCAGGTTAATTTTGAAACTTCTTAGTCAAAAGATAGTTGCTCTAAATCTTTCTGTATATTAAAGGTTTTCATCATGAATAAGCAAAATTTCTATTCTCTGAAATTGATAAAAGTTTCAAACTTTAAGAAAAGTGGTATTTTAACCTTTCCTTTCCTCTCTGTCTATTAGATAAAGTTTGGAGTCTTCCTTCTTTCAGGTTCTTTCAGCAAATTCTGCTTGTACTTTAACTATAGCACTTTGAAAAGCCAGAGCAAGGAATGCCCAGTATCTCTGTGTGGCTATGTTGCCTGGTTGGGTACGGGATTTGAGTACTGGGCTTTGTCATTTAACTTTCTCCTAATTTACCAGGTTGCTAAACTCGATTTTTAAATAGCCCTTGATTTTAAAAGAACAGCATCTCAGACCTATTTCATAATAGGGTTTAATAAGGTCAGCAGAGATACTGGTTCCAGGAATAAAATCAGAGTGGCCTAATTTTTGAAAAAAGTTTTTAAATTAAACTGCAGTAGAGTTAATTTAAGACATCAATACTTGGGTTCTTCTGACTTCGGAGGCAAGTTTTCTTACACAGGCTTAATACACATGATCCTGACCTGGGAATGTTGAGAACCTTCTTCCTTTTTGAATGGTCATGAGGAAAAGAAATAATTATGGCCAAGTTCTCTGAACAAAAGACATTATTTATGACAGTCAGCCCAGTAAATGGGACAAAAACAAGGCTTTCAAACATAAAATTTGTTTTAACCAGAGAAAAGCACAGCTCTGTCTTTGGCTGCTTTAAGCTTAGCCTTTATTACTCATTCTGGTTGATAGGAAATGCAAAAATTACGTTGGGATGTGTGTGTATTTTCTTTTTGTTCTCCCCTAATCCTTATCCTTTATCTTTTATAATTCTGGGAGCATCAGTAAAACACTTTTTTTTTTTTAAACTGGCAGAGGAATCAAAAATATTTGGCAGTTTCAAACAGCTAATTTTAACAGAAACACCTGTTTTTCTGAATGAATGTGACTATGGTGACATGCAGATTGGGCAGAGGATTTGAAATAGACTGCCAAAACCCTTTCTGAGTTTCCCTCAGTGAATGTGAAAGGATTTAGAGAAGAAATCCTTTAAAGACTTAGTAGCATTTTCACCTGGGGCTGTTCCCTGGGCTTCCCTCCTTTAACCAGCAATTGGAAGTGTCTTTAAGGAGACCACATCAGAAATGTCTGGGTTTCTGATGAAGATACAGATACTTGTGTTTTCTCCAGGAAAATTCTTGTCTTGATGTAATTTTTGCTGTTGTTGGAGTTTGTGAATTGATACATTCAGAGCAAGTAGGATTTTTAAGGTCCTTTGGATAAGTGAGTTGTCTGCTTCCACTTCATTGGCAGAAGGCTTTATGATTTAACTATCCAGATACTCATAAGGAAAAAGTGTGATGCTAGTGTCTATGACTGGAGTCAATTTAACTGCAAGTCCTTTAAGATTAAGCGCCATAGTGCCTGGCACATGTGTAATTGTTTTTAATGAACATATGTACATGATACTTGCAGGGAGTATACATAATCAGTAAAATTGCTCTGGGAATGAAAGTTATAATGGTCATTCATTTGACAAACATGTATTGGGGGCCAAGTGTGCATTAGACACTGCTGGATGCTAGGGTGTAGCCGCCGAGAACGAGACCAGATCCCTTTCTTGGAAAGGTTGCTGTCTAGACACAGTGCCACTTAAAGCATAGTCCTGTACAGGAATCTTCAGCACCACCATCATCCTGGCCCTGCCTTAGGCTTATTCACTCAGAAACTCTGGGGGTGATCCATTTATAACATGATTCTGATGTGACCACTGCTGGTTTCTTTTTATTCCCTCCTAGGTCTGAGTCCAGAGCACTTCTGTAACAGGAGGCAGCAACATTTCTGCAAGTTACTTGTTAGCTCAGGGGTTTCCTTCTGGATATTGTAAGACTTTTTCTTTGGATAGAGGAGACAAATTGGTCTCCTATCAATTTGGAATCTTTGAGAATCCAGGTTTTTCTTTTAGGGTGTATGATGTGTGTCTGTGTGTATTTGCAAGTACAGAGTTCTTCCCCACCTCCCACTACCTTTTTGAGATGACCTGAAATCATATAATAGCAAATGGGCAAAATAGCTTTCTGTGTTTTTACATGTTGTTGGCTCTTGCCCTAAAAACTGGAACTAGCCATCTAATTAACAATCAAGGCTTGTTTCTTGGCTGCCCGAGAAAGAGCACTTTGCTATTGAGTTTGTAAAGTACTGTGTTCTTTAGATGTATACAGACTTATTCCAAAGCTCCCTTTAAGGTTAACCAAAGTCTGCAAAATACTCAGGAAATAGACCCTCTAAGAGTGGCCACACACCCAAGAATTAGGATGATCGTTCAGCTCCTCATTCCTCACAAGGGTGGTCCCAGAAACTAGCATTGGCATCGCCCAGGAACTTGATAGATACACAGAATCTCTGCCCTGACCCAGGCCTGGACCTACCTAATCAGAACCCTCTCTTTGAGGAACCAGGTGGTTACTGTCATGTTAACATTTTAGAAGCGCTCTTTTAGGAGATAAATGTGCGGTGGCCATGATGAATCATAGTTTTATTCTTTAGTATGAGAACTTAGGCATTTATTACGTTTATTTAGATCTTTTTAGTTTGTAAAGTGCTCTCATGTATGTTATGTAACTGTCCTCAGAGCAGTCTGGTGAGGTAGGCAGGTATTACTCACCGTGTAAGTCATCTAAATATTTGTGCCTCTGTTTTCCCGTTGTAAAAATTAAGTCAGATGTTTATAATGAATTCCCATGAGGTGCAAGGCCTTGTGATGAACTTTTTAAGACTAGTTCTCTGTACTTCCTAAAGTCATCAAAAGTGTGCTCTAAAAAAACTTTATATTAAAGTCATTTTCTCTTAGTAATGTTGCCTTCACCCCTCTAGTAATTTGACACAGAAAGTATATTGTGACATCCTCAAGAATAGCCTATATCATGAGCATAGCCTTGTTTTCCAAGAAAAGTTTTATATTTCTATGTGATTTCAAACTTCCTATGTAGAGTCTCTAAAATACTGGATATTTAAAAATTTTGAAACCAGGTCATACATTTTAAACTTTTGAGTGAGAATTGAATGCTAATTAAGATTTGTTAGCATACTTTAAAAATGAATCCATTTACTGATTTTGTTTGTTTGAAACAGAGTCTCACTCTTTTGCTCAGACTAGAGTACCATGGCCTCAGTGTAGTTTACAGCAATCTCAAACTCCTTCCTTTAAGTGATCCTCCTGCCTCAGCCTTCCAAGTAGCTGGGAGCTAGGTTTTATTTAAAGAGTCTT